CTGCCGCCCCAGCTCATCCCATCCCTCCACGAGACAGCCGCATTTCAGCCGCCGGCGGCCCTGTCAGCCGACCGGGCCATTCCACCCTCTGGCTCATCCCTCAGGGCAGCGGGCCGTGTCAGCCTGTTCTGCCCGTCACCACCACGAGGCCTCGCCTCTTCCCACCGGCAGGGGGCTCCAGCCCCAGCCCGAGATGTTCATTGCCAGCCCTGGCTGGCTCCACTGCTGTCCTGCCTTACTTGGGCCAGGACCCCGTCTGTTGCCAGGTCACCAATGAGGGCCACCACGTTGCCCCGTCCATTTCATTTCAGCTCCCTCAGCCAGCTGCTGGGGGTGGGCCCCGGCTGGCTTCTTTCCTGTTGTCCCTCTCCAGCAGCTCATCGTGCTGCTCTTGAGGGATGGGTGTAGGGTGGGCCCTACTTTCCGAAGACGGCCTGGCCCTCCCTGTCCTGTGGGCAGCCTGTTCTCGCCTGGCTTTTAGAAGCCTCCAGCCCCCATGTCGGAGCCCACAGGTCCTAGGTACTGTGGATAATGACCTTGCCCACCTCGGGACATGGGCTCTGTTTTCAGTTACACCCCTGCCTCGCTTGCACCTCTGGCTGACCTCCCAACCCCTCCTTGGCACTCGCTGCTCTCCAGCAGTTTGGAGGGCCCGGCTGGGACTCCTCTGCTCGTTGGCCTGAGTGACCGCAAGGCCACTTCTCCTCTCATGCGGCCTTCGGAAGGGCCTGGGGGAGTCCCCCGCCCCAGCCAGGTCCCGTGCCCTGCCCACCCTGGCTGCACAGCCTGACTCCAGGCTGGTGAGGCCTCTGTGCCGTCCGCTGGCTCCAGGTCTGGAGGCTCCAGTTTTAGTTTCCTGCGACTGAGAGGTTGTAAATTGGACTAATTTTGGATGCAATAGGAAACCAAAATGAGGTCAGGGTGGAGGAGGTGCTGCCAGTGACATCCTCCCTCCACTGCAGCCCCAGCTACCAGGCCAGGCTGCCCCCGTGAGACCCCAGGAAAGGCACGTTCTGCTCTCGCTTTCCTCTTGTATTCTTTCTTTACTATGCTCTGTCTGTCTCTGTCTCTCTCTGTCTCTGTCTCTTTCTCTCTCTGTCTCTCTCTCTCTCTCTCTCTCTCTCTCTCCTCTCTCTCTCTCTCCCTCTCTCTGTCCCTCTTTCCCCTCAGCCCACAGGGGCAGCCTAACTGTTGTCTTTTGGTTCCCGGGTAGGTTTAGGGGTGACAGAGGCAGAGTCCGGTTGCGGTGGTGAACGCAGCTCCCGAAGGCCCTGGGCCTCCTCTCACCCTCCCAGGGGACACAGCTGCCCACGGCCCCAGGCTGAGGGTGACCAGGGAAGGCCACAGGGGACACATGTGGCCTTTGTGAGCTGCACCAGCTCTAGTACTGCTCAGCCCTGAAACCGCAAACCAATGCCAGGGCTGTGTTCCAGGAACACTTGCTTTACAGACCAGCCTGGGCCCCCAGGCCACAGTGCCAATACTGCCCTAGGCCGATGGATTGGCAGGGGAAACTCTGAGCCCAGCGAGGTGGAAGGGCTTCTCCAGAGCCCCAGTTAGTGAGAGAGAGAGAGAGAGAGATTGGCTTTGAACCCAGCCTCTCTGACCCGAGGCCACCTCCTGCCAGTTGGGCCATTTCCTGTCCCGCATTGTGTTGGAAACCCCTGTAGTCAGGTTCCAGTCCCCACCTGCCTTGCCCTGCACCCCAGCGTTTCACAGAGCTGCTGGTAGCTGTGGCATGGGGAGCTTCTTGGAGGTGCATGAAAGATGGGGCAGTCACCCCAGTCTCCCTCAGAACGGGTGAGAGGCCAAAGAAGTGGGTCTGAGGCTCCTGTGTGCTCCCACTTTGGTCCCTTCCTGGACAGGGAGCTCCCTTAAGAACCAGGGGAGGAAGCTGAGCGCCGCTCCCCCCAGCAAGATCAGCAAGATTGCAGGGAGGCGGTTGGAACTGTGCCCCAGCCTGAGGTCAGGTGACCTGCAGGACAGAGGTCTGTGGGCCCCAGGCCACTGCCTCTCCTCCCCTGGGGACATAGCACGGGAAGCCCCGCAGGCGTTGCTGGGCCAGCTCTGCACTGTCCTGGATGTCCTCCTCCTCCTCCAAAGGACGCGGCACTCAGAGCCCAGAGCCGGACTTCCCTGATGATCCAGTGAGACCACCCCTCCAGTGCCAGCAGGAGGCAGTCACGGGCCTAGGGACCCTGCCTTCACCACGCAGCCGTGCAGAGGGGTTCAGGCAGGCGGTGCCAATGCCAGTCGGGCAGGCTGGACGGCGGGAGGTCAAGGCTGCTGGGGGCCTGGGGTGGGCGCAGGGTCAGCGAAGGTGATGCAGCAGTGGCTCCCACAGAGGCCCGGTGTGGCCTGGCCGAGCGCACCCTGCACTGGGGCCTCCTGGCCCTGGGCTTCTCTCTCCTCCTCTGTGGTCCCTTCAACTGCTTCTCCTTTCTCTCCTCTCCTCCGCCCGCCCCAAGTTTCGAGGACTCCACCCTGTCCACGGCCACTACCCTTGAGTCTATCCCCAGCTCCGCGGGAGAGCCAAGGTGCCAGCGACCCCGCACCCTGACGCGGCAGCAGAGCCTGCAACAGCCCCTCAGCCAGCACCAGCGGGGCCGGCCGCCCAGCCAGCCCACCACCAGCCAGAGCCTGGGCCAGCTGCAGGCCCACACGGCCGCAGCGCCCGGCACCAACCCCCGCTCCCACGGCCGCGGCCCAGCCCGGCAGGCCGCCTCAGCCGGCTCCAAGTACCGGGCGGCTGGGGGCTGCAGCCGCTCCAACCCGGGCAGCTGGGACCACATGGTGGGGCAGATTCGAAACCGAGGCTTGGACATGAAGTCCTTCCTGTAAGTCCTCCCCAAGCGGCCGGCCCACCCTCCCTCCCTCCCCTGTCTCCCCGGGCAGCTGCTCCTGGTCCCCACCTGGTCCTCCACAATTCAGCAGGGTACTAGGCAGGCCCCTTCCTGAGCTGCCATGGCCCGTGCCCAAGCACCGATGTGGAAGAGAGCCGTGGGGTCTCAGAGAGGCCTCCCGCTGGACAGTGGCCCCTGACACCTCTCCCTCCTTCTGCCAGCCTTGCCCCTCTGTCCTGCCCTTTCAAACTGCATCTCCCTCCTCAAGAGCCTGTCTCCTCCCTTCCCTCTGGTGCCTGCTCTCTGCAACCCGACCCGGGGTTGGCCTTCACACCCACACTTCCTATCCCCTGCCTCTGGCCTTCTGGAGCCACTTGTCCTCCAGCTCCTTCCTCCCCGTGACAACTTGTCCCAGGGGACAGGCCTGAGGTGCACCCCAAAGCTTTCGGGCCTGTGACTTCTGAGTCATCGGCTTCCGAGTATTCAGGCCCAGGAGTAACGCTGCCAGCATCTAACCTTTGCCACTTCTGCAGCCATCCAACCCCAGCTCTGCCCAGGGAGCCCCAGCATCTTCTGGACGTCAGCACTGGCTCAGAGCCCAAAGAGGCGTGGGCTGTGGCCCCTGGCATCACCCACCCACTCCCGCCTAACGTGCGCTTCTTTCCAGCACCCGGGCCTTCCTGGGTTCACTTCTGAGAAGATTGGCAGCACTTCGGCTAGGAATGGAGAGGGGAGGAAGAAGGGGTCCAAGCTAAGGCCCAGCTCACAGACAAATGTAGGGGTTAAGAAGGCGAGCTCGTTTTCTGAACACCCCGTGCGTCCAGCTGAGAGCCCGGCCAGAGGTTCGGGGAAAGCAAGTGCCACCCGGGAGGGATCCCCAGAGAGAAGGCCAGCTGCCAGGCCCAGAAGGGCTCTCTGTGGTGGGGCAGCCTCTCCAGGGACCCTCCGTAGCCCACCCAGCACCTGTCCCCGACAGGATGCCCAGCAGAGTGCCCACCACACAGCGACAGAAGCTCGGGAAAGATGCTGCTGCTGGTGGGATCTGAGAGGGCACCATGGCAGAAGCACAGCCGCAGGCCCACTGGCACCACCCAGCACCGGGCTGCTCTGGCCTGGCCACAGCTTCCTGTCCTTGTGGCTGCCAGGCTGTCCCCCACTGAGGGACCCCTGGGTGCCAGCTCTTCCCCACCCACCACCCTCCAGGTGGACCAGGCGTCATGCAAGGGGTGGCCTCCCATGCCCAGGCCTCTCACCTGCCAGCCCTGCCCTCATACGATGAAGCCAAGGACAAACATCACAGACCTTGCAGGGCACCTGTGGTGTTCATCACGTGACTTTTAATCTTAACCCTTTAAAATGTACAAACCATCCTTATATGTGCCCTACACAGAAGCGGGCTGTGGCTGGGAGAGTTGGTGCCCACTGCTGTCCAGCCTTACACCCCCAGTCTGCTCTCACCCACGCCACGGCCCCCCAGATGCTCAGCCGGCGGCCAGCTTCCCTCCACGCCTGCAGCTCCCAGCCTGTGCAGCCTGCAGAGCTGCAGAGGACAAATGGCGGCCTCTCGGTCTTTAAGAAGAGCGAAAGCGGTATCTGAAAAACACATCAACCAGGGAAAAACACGTTGTTTTCCTCAGGCTGCCTTCCCCCAGGCAGCCAAGGAATTTTCCCAGCTTGGAGCGCACTGGTGGGCAGGAGCCACAGAGAGGAGGGTCAAGTGGGTGCATCCTGAAGAAGGGGCGGACTCATCCCCCAAAGTGGACCCCAGTATGTGCATCAGCCCAGCGTGGCTGTGCTGGGACAGAGATACGGACAGAGATACGGACGACAGAGAAGGGCGCTGTGGCCACTTCCTGCCCTCGCTCAGCAGCTCCCTGCTGGCATCTCCCATCTCCAAACCCCGCACCCTCACCCCCGGCTGTTTCTCCCGGTCACAGTCCCTGCATCAGCTCCCTGGGGAATGGTCACACCAGCCCTTGCTGCCTGGGGACACAACCCGGCCTCACGGCCTTACCCGGGGCCCACCTCCAGAACCCCCTGCATAAGATGAGCCCTGCGAAGCACCCAGAAACCCTCCCAGGAAGAGCAGTGAGCCCAGCAGTCCTCAGAGAACCCCCCCTTGGCTCCAGCACCACATGGTGGCCTCACTCCCTGGCCAGCCCCTCCCTCAGTGTCCCACGGAGACTTCTGGCCCCTCCAGGGCATGCACTTCCACCCACAGAGGCCCTTGTTGTCCCTCGACTGCATCTCCGACAAGAGGCCCTGAACAGACCTGGAGGCCCAGCAGTTACCCCTGATGTGTACGGGGGACAAGGGACAGGGCTGGCATGCTTCGGTGACTGTGAGGAAGGGACTGCTTCCCTCTGGCACATTCAAGAGCAGGTCCTGGAGCCCTCTGCCTTCTCCGACACCTGGCTGACACGGCCCAGGGGCATTGCTGGGGCTTTGGTGCACGCAGAGGAAGCCATGGGAGCTCACAGCTTCCTGGTGCCCCAGCCCATGGGCGCCCTCCCGCTGGCATCTGGGGCCTTTGCTCTTGGCCTGTGGCAGCTGGGACGTCTTAGGCCACGGGTACCTCCCATCCCTGTCCCTGCTCCTGCCTGACCGTTCTGCAACAGCTGACAGTGTTTGGCTTCTCTCCTGCAGGGCCAGTTTCTTACGCTCTTTTCTTCTCTCTCTTTGTCTCTGTCTCTGTCCCCCCCTCCCCTCCCTGCCCATGGGGCCTTCTCGTTGCACCCCACTGCTGGGCCACCCTGGGCAGGGAAGGCCGAATGGTGGTGCTATCCTTGGTCTTAGGGCTTTCGGAACAGGATGACTTTGCCAATATCCCTGACCTGCAAAACCCAGGAACCCAGCAGAACCAGAACGCTCAGGGGGACAAGAGGTACGAGCTCGGGCGAGGCCTGCGGCGGCCGCAGCACCGGAGAGGGAAGCGTGGAGAGGTGGCTGCTCCACCGGCGCAGCTGGGCCAGACCGTACCGCCTTCCACAGTGCTGGAGCAGGAGGACCGGGCGCCCGTCCTGGGACCATTCTGGATCAGGCCTGCTCCCCGCACACTTGCCCTGACCTGGAGCAAGCCCGGCCTCCCTGTGCCATCTCTTGCTTGGCTTCTCTGCTGTCCATGTCTCATTGCTGCCCACCCACCTGGAAGTCCCTGTTTCTCTGGTGGTTGGTGGCTGGGGGGATGTCAGGGAAGGGCACTGGCCCGTGTTCCCTCATCCCCGCTGCCTCAACCTCCCTGGGGTGCAGGCCAGGAAGAGGGGCCCCGGTGGGGAGGCCCTGGAGAGGAGGAGGCAGCGGGGAAGGCTCTGTGTCCCCACAGTGAGGCACGGTGCTGCCCTGGAAAGCAGCGTCCTGCCTGGCCCAGCCTCCCCCAGCCCATGGTGCCCAGGGAAGGGAGGAGTGCTCAGCACCCGGTTAGGCCCATGGGGACCCTCTACGGCCTTGGACTGCTCACAGCCCTGTTTGCGCTGAGTGGACTCCAGGAGTGACCCCTGCAGAAAGGCCTGGCAGGGACAGGGACTGTGCTTGGCTGCGTGGCCCTGGTGCTCGTTCAGCCTTTGGGGACAGGGGCTGGGGGTTAGGGAGGTGCACAGGCCGAGACCTCCCGGCCTGTGTGACAAGCATGGAACTGAGGTCCCCAGGAAGGGTGGGCAGTGGATGGCTCTTCAGACCAGTGACAAGCGGGCTCCAGGCCCTGAGACTGGGGTGTGGCGGGCAGAGGAGCTGGACCCTGGGGGAGGCCCTGAATGCCCCACTCTGAGCTCAGAAGGTGTGGAGCGTGAGGGAGCAGATGCTGGAAACAGATTCCTCTCCACCCTGTGCTGAGCACTCCATCTCACCCCTTCCTAACCCTTCACCACAAGGTCCTGCCCATACGTCACTGCCTCAGCCTTCCTCCATCGCCTCCACCCTCTGCCCTCTGCCCTCCTGGGAAGCCCTGCCCAGCCACCCGGCCTAACTCCAGGGGACCTCACTCCCACAGCCCTAGTGTGCCCGGGGCTTCCTCCCGAGCAGGCGGGCCCCATGCTGAAGCTGGGCATAGACACCCAGGCTGCCCACCTTGCAGCCGTGGCAGGGCGCTCCTTCCTGCATCCCAGCCCCCTTTCTGACAAGCTGCCTTGCCAGGGCTGCTACTGAGGGGCACAAAGCCCCAACTTTAGCCCACTAGCAGCAGGCTAACGGGACAGAGCCAAGGATGGGAGGCCACCCCGGTGCTAGGCAAGGCAAGGGCATGTCCAGCAGGCCAGGGGAGGGCTGGTCCCTGCCTCCCATCAGGGTCCTCAATGGCCCTGGACCTTAGTGTAGAACCTCAGAGTGCCCTTGTTCACCAGTCTGTGCCCTGCCACCAGCCCAGGTCCCAGCAAGGCAGAAGTGTGTCCAATGGCCCCTGTCTTTTGTGCCCTAGGGCCCCCAGCCCCGGCCCTCGGCACAGAACCTCAGTGCCCTTGGCCATAGGCCCGTGCCCTGCCAGCAACCCTAGGATCACAGACAGTGGGGGCTCAGGCCAGGCCAGGCTCCTCAAGTGTAGCACCCCAAGTCCCTGCCTCTCCTGCCCCTCATCCCCGAATCACCCACCTCATGTGCTCAGCCAGCCTCCATCACCCCTCCGATCCGAATGGCTTCCGCTATGGCCACCCGGCCAGGGGCCAGACCATGTACTCCTCCGCCCGTGAGTCCCCAGCTCTGCCTCCTGTGGCCGCCTGACTCCTCGTCCCCGTGCACCCACAGCTTCCCCCCTCGACTCTGACTAACCTCTCTCGCTCTCTCGCTCTCTCTCCCTCCATCTGCTCTGCACAGGGTCCCTGGGCCAGTGACAGCCCCGGCCTGTCCCTCCACCTCTCCCCGTGCCTCAGTCTCTGTGCCGTGACCTCCGACAGCTTCGTGGCACTGACCATGTAGCAGCTGCACTGGGGCTGCAGTTTGGCCCGGGTTACTCAGACTCACACCCTCAGCTCTACTTTTAACCTGACTTTCCCTCTCCAGCTCCATCTCCTCCTCCCCTGCCCGTGCCGTCTACACCAAAGTGTGTCCAGGGTGCGGAGGCGGGGGTCCTGTGTGTTGGGCCGGCCAGGCGCCTGGAGCAGGGCGTCTGTCTCTGGTTCTGTCCGCTTGTCCCTTCCGGTTGTCCCAGCTCTCACACACCTGTCATGCCGGGCTCCACAGAGTCTCCCAGGACCTGCGTGCCATCACTGTGCCTGCTGTCCTGCCGTTGCCCACACATTCTCTCTGCGTTCCTCTGGGCATCTTGTGTGTGCACTTGTGTGTGCGTATGTCTGTGTGTGCACCCCCACTGTAGGGGCTCGGTGTCCTTCCGAGGCCCAGCATATCAGTGCATGTGTCTGGTGGCTGTGCCTATGTCCAGCTGTGTGGCTCTGAGAGTGGCTGTGCTCACCAAGCTGTCCCGTCGCAGCCTGCCCCTGCTGCACGCTCCCCCCATGCCTCCTGCTGCCCGCCCCCTCCCTCACGGGCATCCCCACCTGGTGCCCTCCCTAAGCCCCAGCTGGACAGAGATTCCAGCTTCCCAGAATGGCACAGGGCAGGGGCAGGCCGGGCTGCTGGGGGGCCTCGTCTCTCCAAGCCCGAGTGAGGAGCCTCTCAGGCAAAGCCCCCAGGAGAGCTGGGTGGGGACCTGTGAACACTACTAAGCCTGTTTACCATGCATTAGGTGAAGTCAGTGGGTATGGTGGTGCACACCTGTAAACCCAGGTGCTTGGAGGCTAATGCAGGAAGATCCCAGGTGCCTGACCAGCCTGAGAAGTTTAAAGAAACATGTCACAAAAGAACCTGGCTAGGGTTGTGGCCTTGGGTTCAGTCCCCCATAGTATGGGGAAAATTGTAAGTTCCATTTTGGGGCACACTGGCCACACTTGCTGCCAGGGCTTGGTTATTGGATGGTGCAGGACAACCTGCCACAGGGTCCTGTGTGCAGGATGGAGTGGAGCGTGGCCCTGGCACCCCAGTCTGGAGGGTGGGAGGGCCCTGTGGGGCTCCAGAAGGCAGAGGGTGAGAGTGCCAGGACCAGCCCAGGCCCGGAGCAGGATGCACAGGAGCAGAAGCAGCCATTGGCAGGGCTGCATGGGGCCTGCGCCCTGACCGGCTGGGAGCCAGGCCGAGGACAAGTCCCTGCCAGCCCCACACTGGCCCTCGCTCATTCTGCCTTTCCACAGGTTGCCCACAGGAGGGAAGGCAGTGGACACGGCGCTGGTGCTGGGCCAGACACCCCACGATGAATCTGACCGCAGGACTGAACCCCACTCCTCCGTCTCGGACCTGGCCAACTCCCTGACCAGTGAGATGCTCATGGTGAGCGGGTGGGCGTGGCGGTCCCAAGTGGCCCTGTGGGTAGAGAGCCAGGCACAGCCTTCGGACTGCTCCGTGCTTGTTGGCTGACGGCGGGCCAGGCTTCTCCTCCCAGCTGTGTTGCCAGGGAATTTTCCCTGTGCCGTGGTCTCCCACTTGTCCAGTGAGAGTAAGAATGCCGTCTCCCCCCAGCCCCGTTATGAGCTGAGCAGGGTTAGAACACCTGGCCTCGCAGGACGTGCTGGGACCTAGAAGGAAAGGCAGCAGACAGGGTCTGAGCAGTAGGTGGGTGAAGCTCCTGGCTGGGCAGTTTCTCCTCCCCACGTCCATGTCCTCCACGGCTCCATGGCTGGGGTGCAGAGAGCCAGAGGCTGCAGCCGGTTCTGACAGGGCCACTGCACAGTGTGCGCCTGGCCCTGCTGGCTGCCTGGTCCTAGCTCAGGTGCTTCACACCTCCGACTTTGACTGAACTCTGGCAACGAGGGCACGGGGCTCTCTTTCCCCTTCTACGTCACCTACGCCTACACTTTACTCGTTGTCGTTGGTGTCTCGGAAATGCCAGCAGCGGGGGAAGCCCCCCCCCCCCCCCCCCGCCCTGCCTGGGCCGTGCTCTCCAGGGAGCCCGGACTGCCGGAGGGCAGCAGGAACTAGGGGTCTGGGTGACTGAGGCTCCAGGAGGGCTTGGGAGGCTGGTGTTGGGCCCCCCGGGGGGATGACCTAGGCGGCCACTTCCTCTGTGCGGACGGGAAAGCGGTTTAGGGATCCCAGCTCACTCCAACCCTGGTGTCAATCAGTGTTTCCTCTCGAGCTCCCTGAGCCTTCAGGCTCCCTGCCAGCCTAACCCTGTGACTTACATGCTTCTTGGTTCTCACACACAGCCAGGCCCCAGGGCCATGGGGTGAGAGGTGAATCCACGCAGTACCCCGAGTGCATTGCTCCTGGATCCAGGCTGACTTCCAGTGGCCCCTGTCCCCTCCCTATGTGCTCCTGCTCGCCCTCAGTGGTTCCGATGGCCGACTTCCTCCCGTCTCCGCCAGGCCCAGAGGCCAGAAGGCCAAGTGGGACAGTCAAGCCCTGGGGTGGCCTTCACTGTGGCCACTCAGGGAGATATTGGGGCTGAGGGAACCTAGGCTGTAGAAGCTGGGGGTCAGAAGCTGTAAGTCAAGCCCCCAGAGCCCCAGGAGCATGGCCAGAGAGGAACCTCGGGTGGGCACAGGGGCTGGCTTGATGTTTCTTATTCCTTTGAAATGCAGTCTGACTAGGCTATCCAGGCTAGTCTTGAACTCCCGGGTTCCAGTAATCCTCTGCCTCAGCCTTGAGCACTGGAACTGTGGGCAGGCTGTGTCACGCCCAGCTTGGCCTGACAATTTTGGCAGCTTCAGTCCCCTGGGGTGGAGCCGGGGCTGGGGTGGCCAGCCTGGTTCCCATGGAGATGGCTGGTTCCTGGGGCCCAGGAAGGCTGGGCATAGATGCGTGACCCTTCTGAGTCGAGGCCCACTTGGCCAGCCCAGGTCTCCCCACATCACCGCATGTAGGAGCCAAACAAACAGGGAGTCCAGGTGGAGTGCTTGCTTCAGGTCCCCTCCAACTGCACCCCAGTTTTAGACTGAATGAGTCGAGCGGCCTTTGCTGTACCACCTGCTGGAGTCAGGCGGTTGGGTGCAGGGCCGGGACTGGGCAGACACCCCCTAGCCCCCTTTGCAGAGGCAAGAACTGAGGTTCCGGGGAGCAGGGGAGGTTGGCCCAGGTGGGCCTGGGCAGAACTGTGGCTGTCAGGTGGGCCAGGGTCCTCTCCACCTGAGGAGTGGGAGCACTGCCCAGTGGGATGGGGCAGGTGTGAAGGATGCGGCCTCTGGCGGGCTGGGGCTGGCTCACTTGGGGCACTGAGCCCGTGTCGCCTGTCACCTGGGTGTGGCCCACAGCCCCGGACTCCTGACTAACCTCTCTGAGTGTGGTGACAGCCACTGGCCAGTGCAGAGGTGATGTAAGTCTTCTGCCAGGGGCGGGGCATCTGTGTCCTTGTTGCCTGGGTATCCAGTTCCCTAGAGTCTGGGCAGCCCCCGCATGATGGAGAGCAGCAGTGCCTGAGCTCTATCCTCACTGGGTCTGCTGGCCCCTTCCTTGCTGGGCAGGAGTACTCGGCAGGGCTGCAGAGTGGCCGTGGAGTCACACCCCTGGCTAGGCAGGGTGGAAACTGCATGCGCGTGCACACAAACACACACACACATACACACACACGCATGCACACACCCCTCCTGTAGTCCAAGCCGGTGCCAAACAGTACCAGGCAGCTGCCAGCCCGTTGCCTCAGACTCCCAGGGTAAGGTGGAGGAGTCTGCACCTGCCCCGGCGGCCCCCAAACACCCCCCTCCTCATCATGTAAACTACAACCCCCGAGACCTCGGGGCCCCTTTCTCACGACAGCGTGGTGGACGCCTGTCCCCCAGGAGCCGCCCCATCTGAGCTGGTTGTGTCTACTCTGGTCCCACAGTTGCAGAGGGTGGAAAAAGTGCAGGCTAGGACCCCACATGTGCTGGGGTCTGTGATGAGGGGAGTCCCATCGGTGTGAGTGGGGAGGGGCCTGGGAGGCAGAGACCCCAACACAGCGCTTCCCTCCCCAGCTGTCCCCGGGCTCCGAGGAAGATGAGACCCACGAAGGCTGCAGCCGCGAGAACCTGGGCCGGATCCAGTTTAGTGTGGGCTACAACTTCCAGGAGTCCACACTCACTGTGAAGATCCTGAAGGCCCAGGAGCTGCCGGCCAAGGACTTCAGTGGCACCAGCGACCCCTTTGTGAAGATCTACCTGCTGCCCGACAAGAAGCACAAGCTGGAGACCAAGGTGAAGCGGAAAAACCTCAACCCCCATTGGAACGAGACCTTCCTCTTCGAAGGTGAGGCTCCGCCCACCCTGCATGTGCATGCACACACGTGTGCACTCGTGGTGGCGCACAGGCGCGCAGGCGAGACTGAGGCAGGAGCCTGGCAAATTGCAGCCCAGCCTGGGAAATTTAGCAAGACCCTGTCTCGAAATTAAGAAAAAGAGCAGGCTACAGATGTAGCTCAGCCTGAAGTCCTTTGTATTGCCTAAGAAACTTTCCCCAGTGAGGAGCCATTCAAGGTGGGTTCTGGAGGATGAGGAGGAGTTAGTCAGATACCCAGCTCAGGTGTGGAGAAGCGCTGATTCCGGTGTGGGGATCTCAGAGCTGCTGGCCTTCCCGGAACGCTTGCATTGCCCACGTGCACTTCGCCTGGACAGATGCCAGCGGTCACCTGGGGTGGTCCCCTTCGGTAGAAGGAAAGTGGCCTGGAATATTTTGGGGCCTTTCTCTCCCTCTCATGCCCTGCCCGGCAGTCCCGGTAGGAGTGAGCAGCCGATGGTCGAGGAAACAGACGCACAGAGCTCTCAGGACCAGCGCCCCAGGTTGTGCAAGGACAAGGACAGGGAGACTCGGCCATGCTGCCCAGGGCCAGGGACCCAGCCGGGCACGGCTCACGGCCCTTTATTCCCAGCGCCCAGAGCCGCTGTGATGGTCACTTGACTCTGGCAGCTGCACAGAGCCCAGGCCCCGGGGCAAGAGGGAGTGGCAGCAGTTTGGGGACTCGTGGCGTTCCTGGTGGCCTGGACAGGGCAGACAGTGGGCTCAGGGGAGGGCCATGGGAAGCACAGGGGCTGACGCCCGGGAAGGCCATGTCCAGCCTTGCTGCACCCCCTTTCAGCCTCGGCCCTATCCCTGTGGTCCCTGTCAGCCCCAGCCTTGCCTGCTGGCCAAGAGTCCCTGGCCGGCTGTGCCTCAGGATGTGGGGCCACTGATGTGGGCAGGGCTGAGTGCCTGTGGGGGCCCGGTTCTTCTCCCTCCTAGCCACAGGGCCCTTGAGTGGACCCCCGCTCCCGGCAGTGCAAAGCGGCTGGGTCCCAAGCGTCCCTCCAGAGAGCCGAGTGCTGCCCACGGCCCTCACTTCCTTCTCTGCCCCCAGGTTTCCCCTACGACAAGGTGGTGCAGAGGGTCCTGTACCTCCAGGTCCTGGACTATGACCGCTTCAGCCGCAATGACCCCATTGGTGAGGTGTCCACGCCCCTGAACAAGGTGGACCTGACGCAGATGCAGACCTTCTGGAGGGACCTGAAGCCGTGCAGCGATGGGAGTGTAAGGCCTGGGCTCCCTGGGTGGGGCCGTGCGCAGCCACCAGAGGGCAGCACTGTGCCGGCATGGATGCCCCCAGGGCAGGGCCGCCATCCTGGTGGCCTCCGTGACCATGCTGTTGTCCCCAGGGGAGCCGAGGGGAGCTGCTCTTGTCTCTCTGCTACAACCCCTCTGCCAACTCCATCATCGTGAACATCATCAAAGCCCGGAACCTCAAAGCCATGGACATCGGGGGCACCTCAGGTGCGGGCTGCGGCGCCAGGGGCCAGAGTACGGGCTGTTGTCCCAGGATTATCTTCCCCAGGAGCAGGAGGAAGGGGCACTCTGCATTGGGGGGAACTGGCTTTGCGCCCTCTCTCTGTGGCCTTGGTCGGGCCCGCCACCCTGGCCTCAGTTTCCCCACAGGTGTTAGCAGGAGCACTGGGGACAGTGCAGCCATTCTGGCTCCGTCACCTGCGGCCTCTCCAGGCCCCACTGGTCCTGCTTGGATCTCCCCACCCACACCTCTGCCTCAGAAGGGGACCCAGGGCCCCCTAACCCTCCACTGCCTCCCCAGACCCCTACGTGAAGGTGTGGCTGATGTACAAAGACAGGCGGGTGGAGAAGAAGAAGACGGTGACCATGAAGAGGAACCTGAACCCCATCTTCAACGAGTCCTTTGCCTTCGACGTCCCCACGGAGAGGCTGCGGGAGACGACAGTCGTCATCACCGTCATGGACAAGGACAGGCTGAGCCGCAACGATGTCATAGGCAAGGTAGGGGTGCGGTGGCCTCGCATGGCCCTCAGGGCAGCTCTTCTGCAGGCCAGTGTGGCGTCTGCATCTCCTGCACACATGGCTGCAACACAAGCCTTCCGTCTCCCTGCTTCGGACTTCTGACCCTCTCTGTTTCTGGTTCCGAGTCTCCCGCAGGCCAGACGTCATCACACCCAGGGCCTCTTCATTTGGGGGATAGTGGGGCTTGGACCCAGGGCCTTCACACTGAGCTGCATGCCCAGCTCTTTTTGTTTTACTTTGAGTCAGGGTCTTAGTCTTTTAAATTGCCCAGGCTGGGCTGGAACTTTTGATTCTCCTGCCTCAGCCTCCTAGAGTGTTCTAGCTCCTTTTAAAACAGGCCAGCTATGTGGCCCCAGGGTGAAGGTGCGTGGGTCCCCCTGTGGCTTGGGTAGGTCAGGAGCCCTGAGTACAGCTTCAGCTAAGCCCCTGGAAGGCAGCTGGCATCCCCTCTGGTCTGTCTGGCACCCCTGGAGGCTGCAGGTCCCACCCAGGGCTGCGGCCCTAGGCTGTGTGACTCCAGGGTGACTACCCCCAGCATCAGAGGCGCAGGACCTTGCGGCCGGGAGGCTGTGGGCCACGGCACACCGGGGCCCTGCCACCTGCTTTGACCTGTCCTTTCCACACGGACAGAGCCGGACCGGCTCTCTCACTCCTTTTCATCTTTGTTGATGGTTTAAATACTCTCAGATTCATATCAAAGTGGCAGAGCCACAGAGAGAGCTCCGCACTCTGTTTCCCCAGATGCCAGCCTATTGGGTGACCATGGAGCCTCTGTTGCAGTGTGAGAAAAATACTGCAGGTGCTGTCTCACCTGCTCGCCCATCCTTGTCCTCCCTCCCTCAGGTTCCAGCCCAGGGAGCCCCAGCAGAGTGGTCACCCGGTCTAGAACAGTATCTGTCTCTTCCTGTGACCTGGCCGCCTGGGGTGCCCTGTAGCACCTGACCCTACCTCTTCGGGCCCAAGGCTCTTTGCCACCACTGGCTGCAGGTCAGGCCAGCCCTGGGAGAATTCAGACTGCTGGCATAAGCCCCTCGAGGCTGCGGAGCCCCCAGAGCCCAGCAGGGTGGAGCAGGTGGCCCAGAGCCGGGGCCTGCAACCGAGCCTCTGCACTCTGGAGCCCTCGTACCTCAGCCTCCCTGCCCGGAAGCGGGCATGTAGCTCTGTGCTACCTGGCCTGGCTAACGCACCGCCCCCTCACTCTGCAGATCTACCTGTCCTGGAAGAGCGGGCCAGGCGAGGTGCGGCACTGGAAGGACATGATCGCCCGTCCCCGGCAGCCCGTGGCCCAGTGGCACCAGCTGAAAGCCTGAGCACCAAGGGATGCCCAGGGGGCCGAGGCCCGGGCCCATCGCGCCCTGGCCGCTTTACGCACACTGTCCGGCCTGGCCCCCACCACGGGTGAGGGGACGACCCTGAGGGCTCAGCCAGGAGGTCCCCGACCAGCAGGGCCCATCCAGGACATGCAGCCCCACCCCACGGCCCATGGGGACTCCTGAGCCATCTCCCTGCTTTGCCCGCCCTTCCCGACTTGCCAGTGCCGCGCAGTGAGGGACGCCCACGAGCAGACAGGCACAACCTCCAGAGCCCTGCCAGGTGGGCACGGCCCCCGTTTTCTTTACGGCAGTGCCTGGAGTGGAGAGAAGCCAGCCCTCCTGTCCAGGAGGTGCCGAGGCGTTTGGCCCCGGCCTGGCAGGACAGGCCCGTCTGGGCGGCTTCAGGTGCCGGCTGGGCCCTGAATGCCGAGGACAGTGCACGGCCCACCCTGGTCTGTGTTGTGTCACTGTGTGAGTGTGTGTGTGTGTGTGTGTGTGTGTGTATGTGTGAGTGCTGAAGGCCCAGAGAAGCAGGTGTGCTGGAGGGTGAGGCGGGGCGTGGCCATCCCACCCTCTCCTGAGTCTCGGCAGCTCCTTCCTGGCGACTTCACCTCTTGGACATCGGTTCACAACTTTTAGGCACCTATTGTGTGCATAGCATTCCCCCAGGACCCACCAGCTCCCTTCTGTCTCAGGGGTTCCAGCCCCACTTTTCCCCAGCGCCTCCAGAGATCCCCCTTCTCAGACCTGTGCTCGGCTCCCTGTGCCTGACTGGCCTCTGCCCACACCAGGCTCGGGGACGCCTTGCTTTCCTTCCCTCCTGGCGTGGCTTCCCCTGTCCAGCCCGCCCTGCTGGCCCCTGAGCGTCCTCCCGCCCTCCCAGACTTAAGGCTAGGGTGTTGGTGACCTGGCTTGCACCTTGGGCCGGAGCAGGTCCTCCTATGGCGACAGAGCCTCCCCACATTCCCAGAAGCCACCACTAGGTGGCACCAGCACACCGCATGGGGGACACCATCAGGGACGGCGCCGGCTCCGGCCGTGAGGGCTGGCCACCGTGTTCTCTCGCCGCTGCAACTGACACTGCAGCTGCCCTGTGTCCCAGTCCCTTCCTCCCTGGGATCCCAAGGGATCTTACTCAGTAATGAATCGTTCATAGCAAAGATGCCGGTTGTGTAAAGCATAGCAATGCATTGCTTGTAAACCCAGAGTCTGTACAGTGTAGCTGCCCAGCCCTGGGTGTGCAGCAGGCATCAGAGGGTGGAGGGCAGGGCAGCATGCCCCTTCCTTGGAGGGAGCCTGTGGGGAGCCCGGGGCCCAGCCAGCCTTCAGGAGGGGCCAGCAAGGGCTCCCCTGCCCGTGCCACCAGCGGCCCGTAGTCCTAGCAGACGTACAGTTCCCATCAGACCCCCAGGCTGCTGTGACAGCCAGGTCCCCCTCCCTAGGCTGCATGGGGAGGGCTGAGGGTGGGTGGGCTGGCAGAAGGTGGGACAGCCTAGGGCACTCGGAGGACAGGGGAGGGAAGGGGGAGGGTGCCGGAGCCCAGCCACCATCCCAGGACCCTGGACAAGTCACCCACTCTCCCTGTGACTCAGTTTCCCCATCTGCAAAATGATGGTAATAATACTTCACCTACCTCATGGGGGAGGTTGTGAGGTCACCATCGCCTGACCTGGGGGTCTAGCGAGGCAGAAGGACCCTGAAGGTGCTACCGGGAGCAAAGTATTATTACCACAGCCTGAGAGCTCGCCCACCCCTGGTCCCTGCTACAGGGACATGGAGGCAGGGTCCTCTGTCTTTTCACTGTGTCCCGGGCCCTGTCGTGAGTGTCATCTGCCTCGTTCGTGGGTACCCTAGACTTAGTCGTGACCTGATTCAGCTCTCCTCTCTGTGAACATCTCCCCAGGAACTGCTGTGCAAATCCGCCACTCCAG